CCTTTACTAATTTATCCACCAAAGTGATTTTGTTCACACCCATCCTGCTGAAAACTGCTTGTAGCAACTTGAAGTTCTGGATACGTTTCTGGTATAGCTTAGCTTGGAGTTTCACTTTCTTCAAGCGATGGCGTCTTGGAATAGCATCTCCATGAACTGATAGGAAGCCACGCCCAGCACAACACTTTTGTGTCAGATTTAGCTGTACAGTGTCAGCGATTCAGTGCTGCATGCAATGTTTAATTAGGTTATGACTGGTGACTGATATAAAGTATATAGTTACTGCCATCTTTGGTCCTAGGTAGATGGCATCTGCTGGCTATGCCTGCCTCCAGTTTGGTTTTCCTCTTGTCTAAATTCCTCTGGCTTTAAAATTGGGTTATTCGGGGGCTTTGTTTGCTTGCTGCTCTGCTTTTGCTGTTGAGTCGAATGAGTTACTTGTGCATTTTCTACATTTGCTCTTACTGGGTATATGGCCTACCAATGTTTTCTTCCATTCTGTTAATCATTCCCTTCTCTGTGCAAACATGCTTTTCATAGTGTCACTGGTTTATGTCAGCTTTCATTGTTGGTGTCTTGGATGTTGAATCCGAAAAATTATTGCTCAGGAACTTTTCATCTGTTTTCTAGTTTGTGGCCTTCTAACTATTCATTCCATTTTGAATTGATTTTTTGTGTATGATGTACAGTAAAGACCTAATTTCTTTACATATGAAGATCTTGTTATCCCCAAATTACTGTGCCAGTTATTGTTGTCAACTTGACACAAGCTGGAGTTATCTGAGAAGAGGGACCCACAATTGAGAAAATGTGGGCATTTCCTTGACTAATAATAGGTGTCCGAAGGCCCAGCTCACTAGGGATGGTACCACCCCTGGGCTAGTGATCCTACTCTAAGACAAAAGTCTAAGCAACTCAGGGTGAGTAAGCCAGTACACAACACTCTTCCATAGCTTCTACTTCAGTTTCATCCTCCTCTGACTTTTTCAAATGATGGACTGTGATGTGGACCCATAAGGTGAAATAAACCCTTTTCTCCCCACTTTGCTTTTGGTCATGGTGCTACATCACAAGCAATAGAAATCCTAACTGAGACAATCACTTACCATAGAAAATATCAATTCTTCTTGTGTATTATTGGTGTACTTCTTTTTTTTTTTGAGAATTGGTTGATTATGCACACTTGGGTTTGTGCCTGGCTTTCTATTCTGTTCCATTGGCCTATAAACCAGGTTCTATGCCAGTACCACACTGACATGACTGTCAATGATTTCTACATAATTTAAAATCAGAAAACGGCATGCGTGCAGCTTTGTTCTAGGTCAAGAGTGCTTCACCTATTTGGAATTAGATCTTTGACCAAGGATTAATGCCAACATGGTAAGGGATATTGGACTATTCAGCAAGTGCTATTGGACACAAACATATCGAAGCCAGAAAGTTGAAACAGACCTCACACCATTTACAACATTGAACTCAAAGTGGAGTTCAGGATGGAGCCAAGCCAGAGCAATGGTCCCTGACCAGCATGCTAGGCTGTGTGAAGGCCTGGCTGAAGCAAGTCCAATATGGTGCGGAGAGCAACATTTTTTTTTTTTTTTGGAGACAGATTTTCACTACATAACTCTGTCTCACAAAGAGTTCAGAATGTAGGTGCCAAGGTGTGAAAATTCCTGCTACAAAGAATGACACTGCTTTGAAAGCCACACATTATCTATTATGAACAAGAAATCGTTTTGTCAAATGATTTAAAAGTTAATGATTGTACTCCATTAATTTTAAATTCAGATGAGCACTATGAGAATTTTGCAAGCCCCTTTTCCCCTATAATTTTTTTGTTCATACTAGAATAACACCCACTCCACCAAAAGTAACAGCAATTCCAAGAGCTATTCTCCAGATCCTATCAAAACACAAGTCAAACCTGGCTGCTTCAGAAGCAGTTGAAGCCGAGCCAGCTAGGAAAGGAGTCCTGAAAGCATCTGAGAGGCTGCTGTTGTGTGAGAGACCTTTTCCTGGGGGGGGGTGCAAACACACATGCACACATGCGTGCATACACACACACACATGCACACATGTGTGCACACGCACACACCTACCTACTCACTCCCAGAACAGGTACTCACAACAGCCCGTGAATTGCAGGCTTGACAGGTCTGAAAGATCTCCTTTCAGCAGCTCAGCAGGTCTCTCCTCCCCTCACAGTTGTTCACTGCATCTAGAAGGTTGGAAAGGGGCCCTCCTGAATCTGGAAAGTTTCATCTAGTCTAGATATGTGATGTTCATTTACCCCCTGACTCTCGAAGTTCAGTAAGAGATCCTCTCCCCAGGGAATGAGGCAGTGACAGAGCAGGACCCCTAACATCTTCTGCTGGCCTCTACAGGTACACACCTGCACATATATGTGTAGTTACATCATACATGCCTTCTCTCACACACATACATGTGTGTGCCCATGCGCGTGCACA